ACCCACCACACCCACCCTTATAAAAAACTACTACATACTAGGCATCATATCAAATGATGTATTGCGTGATTATACGAATCGTCCTAGTATCCATATTACTCCATACTAGGTATAATCTTAGTATATATACATCTTGCCCCATACGTGGTATAATCCTAGTACATGTATGTACATATATATAAAACCCCATACCCGAGACAGTGGCAGTTCAAAACGTAGAAATCTTTTGAAACCTTCATAAAATAACTGTATAACCTGAAAGAAATATTCAGAACTCTTGACGAATCCTTTGTCTAAGCTTAATCAAATCTTTAGAACTGCTGGTGAATTGCTGATAAATCGCGAGACAACCTCAGAAATCATTATGCGCTGCTGCACAAATTCCGAGGAAATCTTCGAAAACCTGCATCTAATCTTGATGAAATCCGTAGAAATCTGAGGTAAATCTTCATGAAATCCGTAAAATCTGCATGTAATCAGTAGGAACCTTGAGAAATCTTCATGAAATCCATAGAAATCTAGAGAAGTCCTCATGAAATCCGAAGACATCTAGGGAAATCCTCATGAAATCCGTAGAAATCTAGGGAAGTCCGAAGAAATCTAGAGGAATCCTCATGAAATCCGTAGAAATCTGAAGAAATCTATAATAAATCCGTAGAAATCTAGAGAAATCCTCACTGACATCGGTGGAAATCTTCGTCAAAACCGAAGAAATCTTCGCGAAATCCGTAGAAATCTTCATGAAATCCGAAGAAATCTAGAGAAATGCTCATGAAATCTGTAGAAACTTTGATGAAATCCGAAGAAATTTTCATTCAATCCGTAAACTTTGATGGAATCCGAAGAAATCTTTATCCAATCCGTAGAAATCTTAACGAAATCCGCAGAAATCTGTAGAAATCTTCATGAAATCCTGTAGAAATCTTCACGAAATCCTGTAGAAATCTTCACGAATTCCTGTAGAAATCTTCATGAAATCCTGTAGAAATCTTCATGAAATTCTGTAGAAATCTTTATGAAATTCTGTAGAAATCTTCATGAAATCCTGTAGAAATCTTCATGAAATCCTGTAGAAATCTTCATGAAATCCGAAGAAATCTGCAGAAATCTTCAAGAAATCCTGTTGAAATCTTAATGAAATCCATCGAAATCTGGTGAAATCTTTATGCAACGCTGTAGAAAGCGTCATGAAATCGTAATAAATCTTATAATATCCTGAGAAATCGCGATGAAATATGGAAAATCCTGGCAAATGTGTACGGAATGGTGTAGAAATCTCGTCCAATCCTGAGGGAATCTGATGAAATCGCAAAGAAGTCCACGTTACAGCCGGAGAAATATTTAGGTAATCTTGCTAAATCTGGAGGATTTCCGAGAAATGAGCAAGAAATATTATGCAATCCTGAGAACTCCTGAGAAATCATGAGAGAATTTTTGTCGGGAAGCTTAGTGAAATCCTGGTGAAAGTGAAGGAAGTTGGATGAAGCCCCGATGAAATTCGACTATATTCGATCGGGACTCTGATTGATCAGGTGGTTCCCTGTCAATGGGTCCTGGCGGTTACGGTAATATCTGATGAGTAGATGCGACAAAAACCGATCGGATAGGTTCCCGACGTAATCCGCGTCGGAAAACGTTGGTTAGGAGTTCCTCAAAAATCCGTTGGGTTTTGGTCGGTTTTGCAAGGGAATCCTCCCAAACCCGCCGCGATCCGATATCGTTTCCGACAGTTTCCTGTAGGATATATAGGTCGGATGGAATCACCTGGGGTAATACATCCAGGTAGTGAGCGTAGATTTGATACCATTTTCTAGTCAACATCATTTATTCTCTTCCTTTTTATGTTAAACAAATTTACAAGATTAATAATGTGACGTTTTGTTGTTTGTAAAACAACTTCTTCGGACAAAACAAAATATTCTTATAGTATTACATTCACATTTTTTTTTCTTTCATAAATAAGAATTGTTGACAGTGTATTGTTCTTTTGTGTAATATTTTCAGAGAAATATGGAACAAAACGATAAAAGTAACACATTGTTAAAAATTCTTATTTATGAAAAAAGTGTGCATATAATAGTATAAAAATATTTTGTTTTTATCTGAAGAGATTGTTTTTCAAATAACCAAATGTCAATTAACTAGTTTTGTAAATATTTATGAAAATCATTTTTGGATTAGTTTAATATAAAAAGAAAGAGAATAAATTATGTTCCTGTCACGGAAAAAAAAATGATTTCATTTTCAGAATAATTTATAGTTTATAATAAATAATAATTTGATCATCTATTGGTTACCGATCAATCCATAAACGAATATTTGATGTGCCAATATCTCTCGTAATTGAATATGTTGATGGTAAACAAGAACATAACCATTCAATAAGTTCATCATTTATTGA